TGGAGGACCAGGAGACTGAACTTCGTCTGACCTCTACCCATTGACCTTCCAGGCATGATAGGATCTCCTGGCTTTATGAAGCCATCCTGTGTAGGTCGTTGGGTCATTGAGGTGCGCAAGCCACGTCAAGGTTCAGTCTCGTCGTAATGGACTGTGTACTCTAGGGTGGTGATGGCGCAGTGGTTTGTTCGCTGTCAACGACGTGCTTTGGACCCTGTGGTCCAAGGTTCAAACCCCGCTACTGTCACCCGACTTTGGTGGTAGGTAGCCCTGCTGTCGTCCGGTTCAATACCACGCCTAACCCATCGGGTCTCATGTGGTTCCCTGCTCCAATTCTCGGTTGGCGGTTTCCATCACTGAACAGCAAGTCCTCGTGACTATGGGGTTCGCCCCGTCTGCTGTTCATCACAGTTAGGTGTGTAATAAAAAAAAAACTTTGTGTTGACCATAGAGGTTGGCTTTCTTTTCCCGTCCTTAAAAGTAGGCCCAAGCCCTATCCTCCTTACACATTCTCACTCACCTTGTATGCAATGAGTTTGGCAGTGATCAGTGAAGTTCCTTATGGGTTCGCTCCTTCACAAAAGAATGCCACGCTCCTGGGCAACCTATTAGGCGATATGTGTAACACTTGCCCCAACCGACGTAATTTATGGCGGTCGACCACTTGTTCCAGTAGATGACCGCAGTTACGTTAAACTCTGCGTCTAACTTCCGCATTGTTCGTCTGGTTTCCCCACCGGACTCGTGCAATGCAACGTAGACCTCAATGTTCAAACACCGATAGTCTACCTTTATTCTGTTTTCTTATTGGCCAGGTTTCTACACCATATAGCAGACCTTGCCGAACTGCCGCAGCATACACTCGACCCTTAACAGACAGCCGGATGTCACGACGGTACCACAGATGTTAGTTGAAGATCAGCAGCCTCCGACCAGCAATCAAGGACGTAGAATTATACTGCGGATACACTAGTCTTGTGTTCCTGGTTGGTAATTGTTGTGTCCCGGTTAATTAGGTAAGTAAGCGCGTAACACGATAGATTGTAGGATTGATGGAAGTTCGTAGCGTAATAGATCGCACGTTTAGTCGGCAGAAAAACCAGAAGGTAACGCCTTGTTGATAGGCTTTAGTCGACCATAAAACTGGTCGTGGGAGCTAAAACCAGAGAAAGAAAAACGTTAGAATATCCACCCAGAATCAGAGCTATATGCACAGCATTCCAACAACTCTTTGCAGTGCCTTTCTTATTCGTAGAAGGGGCAGTTTGAGAAAAACATCGAAGCGTTCTGGATTCGTCTTGACGCTTCGTTTGGATATTTCATAACCCAGCAGTTGAACTACTTCAGAGGTGAATACAAGCTTCTTGTGTTTTAGAGTAGTACCATATTCGGCAGTAACTGCTTCAGATTGACGTCATAGTCTGTGATTTCTTTCCTGCAGACGGTAATATCATCTTTTGTTTTCGATAAAGATTGCTGTACCATGATTTGTTTGGCACACAGTCTGGATTCAGACGTTTGTGAAGATATAATATAATACTATTGTCTACATATGCCAAGCTTCCTTTAGGCCCTCTATGTCCTAACACTCCTGATTTTCCACCGCTTTGTTTTTGCAGATCCAATGTCGGTTACTGCTGCAAAATACGCCCAGTTCATCCTGTCAGAAAACTTTGGTCCGACTGCTGCTTCTGTAACGCGGTTGATGCGAACCAAAGGACCCGTATTGCTTTTGGAAATTATTAGAGATTGTTCAGATTTGACAGCACAACACGTTGGACGGTAGGAATGTCCGTCCACTTTCTATGTGTATCTCTTTTCAGCTGCTTAAAGTCCCTGATTCGGCATATGTTACTTCGGCAGAAACAGTCCACCAATCTAAAATATGAGCTCAATTATCCACTAATATTTTGCATCCCCAGGTGAGCATTTTATTTTTATTTTAAATTACTTGCTTCGCAGGTTTCCACTTTTTGCACAACTCGTTTTGCACTTTTATGGGAAAACAGCAGAAGAGTTGGTCTTTCATTTGTTTCTGATGGGCCAGGCCACGGTACCCGACTTACTTATGCGTTGTATGAATGCATACGAGGAACCTGAAAGTACGTGCACCCTTAAATGTTGATATTTACGCCTAGACGAGGCCAAACGGCATGAATATGCAGAATCTTTAGGGAACACTTTGGATACCCTTATACGGACAGGGGTTCTATCTGTTCGCTCACCTAGTAGAACTGACGAAGAACAAAAAGAGAATGGGGACACTCAAAATACGGTTAGTAAAGAAGAATCAACTGTGACCGCAACCGCGTGCGATTGGAATTTCTCTAAGAGTGAAATTTCCGGTGCGTTTTTCGTATTGCGCTCATTATGCTTTACCTTTTTACTTACGACAGAGGGTTTACACAAATACGTCACCACCGGAAAACCTCCTTGGGGCGGAATGCGCAGCAAAACAGATTCGGACAGTAAACGGATTCGCTTATCGTCAGCCCATTCGGTGAGTAGTCTCTGTAATCGGGATAAGAACCATTTTGCATGCATCTGTTGTAACTCTATTTCAACTGTGACATTAAATAAACCCCGTAGTTCCTTATTTTTGTATTGGCATACTATTCAGCCAATTATTGATTTTCTGGCTTCCTTAATTTTACGACGTGCTGTTATTTTCAGGCCAGGTAATGATTTCGATTTTTCCCATTCATTTTCATGCGATTAACTTTTTTGTCGGCTCCTTCGTTTGCCAGACTCCGTGGGATCACTTAGTATACCCCAACATTGCATCCTTTGAGGCCATGTGGCGTGATCGGTTAATATTCCAACTGGCACGGGAACGCCTTGGAGAAGTAAGACATCTATAGGAGATACGAGACTCATGTGTTTGTCCTTCTGGTGCTTTTGACCAGTGTGTCGAAATGTTTCTGCTGTACGAGCAATATTCATAACTTGATTTTACATGATTATTATTTCCTATCTCTTTTTGACGGACTAATTTCGGCCAGTTTTGACGGCAGATTGTTGGTGAATGCATACGATTATGCCTGGTGTACCGGTAAATATGATTTGACTTGTTCATGTGTACGATGGTCGATGATTCTCTGCCGTTCCTGAATTTGGACATCACTTTTGACAGCAGCACCAATACGCATCAATGAAAGCCGCTTCTCGTGGCCAGTGACATCAAAACCCCAGTGAGTCAATACTACTGTGGCCAACAATGGCGAAATTTACACTGAAAGAAAGTCCAATCCCTTGACCAAGGCCCAGCCCTGAGTGCTCATCGACTATGTCGGCCGGATAAAGGATATGTGGTGGATAAATACTCCGAATAGCCCGAGATTTATCGAATTTTGCGGACAACAATAAATGCAACATTTACTTTGCCATCTACACTCTAGGAGCTTACCGAGAGGATCCTTGGTACCTTCCAAAGTATGCTGCCCAAGTCCCGTGGGGAAG